CACTTTTAGGTGTATTTTGTGCAAGAAATTGCAATAAAATAGTCTGCCTAAGAAAAATTGAATTTTTTTGGGAACTTTTTTATGATTTTGGATTTTTGGGTCGGATGACTTTTTGGTGGTAATAGGTGTCTTCCTCTACTCGGATTCGGCTGTCAATTTTTTTCTACACTTTTAGGTGTATTTTGTGCAAGAAATTGCAATAAAATAGTCTGCCTAAGAAAAATTGAATTTTTTTGGGAACTTTTTTATGATTTTGGATTTTTGGGTCGGATGACTTTTTGGTGGTAATAGGTGTCTTCCTCTACTCGGATTCGGCTGTCAATTTTTTTCTACACTTTTAGGTGTATTTTGTGCAAGAAATTGCAATAAAATAGTCTGCCTAAGAAAAATTGAATTTTTTTGGGAACTTTTTTATGATTTTGGATTTTTGGGTCGGATGACTTTTTGGTGGTAATAGGTGTCTTCTTCCTCTACTCGTATTAAATATCCCGTGAATATCCTAAGAATATCCCACGGACATCCTGAGGATATCCCATGGATATCCTGTGATATAATATTCAATAGATATTTTGTGGATGTCTTAGGGTTATCCTGTGGATATCCTATGAATGTCTTGTTGATGTCCCACAGACCGGCGGTTTGGATATCCTAGGGATATCCCAAGATATCCTGGGGACCATTCGAGGATATCGACCATTGATATGAATATCCTATGGATATACTAGGGATATCCTATTGTTATGAGGGAATTAATTTGAAGCTTTTTAAAAAAATCTTATTACTTCGTAAAATTTGAAAAATGCATTTTTTTACTGAGATAAATTAAAAATCTTTCTTTCTTTCTATGATATGAATATTGGAAAAGATAAAAAATGCTGACTAAACGCGACACTATTGTGAAAGAGCATTGTAATCTTTTCTTTTCTGATATCTGTTTAAACCCAAATGACTTTCACTTGGTAGTGACGAATTTAAAAACAAACAGATTCCAAAAGACTTCCCAAAAGTATATATAAATATTGATGATGCTAATTCGTTAGCTTCTACCGGAATTTTTTTGCTCACGAGGGTAAGCACTTTCACTTGAAATGGCAACAAAAAAGAAATAAATATATAGGTATATATATGTATATTTATAATACAGAAACTT